TACCCCTCCATAAGGTCCAAGATGGTGCAAACAGTTGCCTCGTCCGGGACGACAATAAAGAGGTCATCTGCATAAGCAAACATTGCCACCGGGGGGGGGGGGGGAACCTGGCGGAAGGGGAAATCTATCTATGCTGGTGTCTTTAAAAAGCCTCTGCAAGAGCGGTTCAAATGCGAGCACGTAGAGAGCGGGCGACAGTGGGTCGCCCTGTCTGACTCCACGGCACACACCGAAAGACTCCGAGACGCGATCTTGTATGACAACAGCAGAACTAGGACGAAAGTAGAGAGCCCTGACCATGCTGATGAACTTAAAACTGAAGCCCGCCTGCTTTAAAACTTCAAAGATGTACTTATGACTGATAATATCAAAAGCCTTTTCTTGATCAAAGGAACAAAGGATTCCACTTAGGTTGCGTGAATTTGACCATTCTATAAGGTCCCTGATAGCAAAACCATGAAGTTGGCACGATCTACCTTGGACACAACACACCTGGTACGGACCCAAAACAGTACTGAGCACTGGAGTGAGTCGAATGGACAGGCACTTAGCTATGAGCTTGTAGTCACAGTTTAGAAGGGTGATGGGCCACCAGGCTTTCAGGTCGGTGCGTCTCGTCTCATCCTTGAACAGAAGAGTGATCCGCCCCTCCCTTTGAGTTGCTGACAGGGTCCCCTCACGGAGAAGCATCTTTGCCTACGTGGTTAAAGGCCCCGCTTCCCCAAAACCTTCCAAAACTTGACATAAAACTCGACTGTCAAACCATCTGAACCTGGGCTACGATTATGGTTCATGGATGTAAGGGCTGCAAACACCTCCTCTTCGACGAGAGGAGTGTCACAAATACCAAAGTCCTCGTATGTTTTGGTGAAAGGAAACGAGTACGTAGTGGGAGGTGGTTCGGCGTAAAGGTTCTTGTAGAACTGTCTTGCTACCTCTAATACTTCGTCCTGCGTTTCCACTAAACTGCCTGTGTTTGGATTGACCAAAGAGGTTATCGCTGAGCTCTTCCTAACTAAGTGTCTGCGAAAGACATTTCTGCTGCACCAAGCCTCCATTTCCCACTGCTCTGCGCGTGCCGTGGCCCGCAAGCGGTCCCAGCGTCGCTGGAGCAGGACTCTATATTCTTTGCGCAGTGAAGTAAGAGCCGCGGTTACCCTCGGGCCGCCGGACAATGGCTTTGAGAGCAGGAGAATCGCGTCAGAGACCGCTTTAATCTCGGCGCGCTCCTCCCGCGCCCGCCTCTTGCCCCAATCCCGAAAGTGCTCCGCGACTAAAGTACGACAACGAAGAACCGCACGGCTTCTTTTTCAACATCGCGCACAGCAACAAATGACGAGCCCTCAACAAACCGCGCTGCAGCACGCCAACAATATGGCCGCGAGATTGAGCACAGTCGCCGCCTGGAGGCAACTGGCCGAAATGGTGAAGTGTGGATTGCTCCATGTGTCGTCTGCTAGCCACGTTGTGTTTCTATGTGCGCGTACGTCATGCACATTCTCAAATTGTGGTCTCTCCGAGCATAGATCAGCGTGATTGAAACTGTTTCTGCGTATGTCTAAAACGACGTAGGAAAGCATTTGGTCTTGCTTGGCTGCTAATGCATGTAATAAGATTGTCGTCGTACCCTTCATTCACCAGAATAATTTCAAAGTGGGTGGCGCTTTCTTTTTCAAGCACATCGCAAAATGCTCTCATCCTCCCAAACATGAGGGCAATTAAATGCCGTTTGAATGCGGCGTTTTATATAGCGACTTAGTTGTAAAAAAATAACTGGCTCAAGGCCACGCATTTGCGCGGAGTTGGTAGGTGTACAACTACGGCACTCTAGTTTATCGATCATGCTAGGAGCCTTAGTTGTGTTAATCTGGCCGTGGTACCAATACATAGAAATAATACTGTCACATAAACTTTGCGACTTCGGTCTTACACTGTACTTAGATCAGAGTTACCATGCGTGAAGGGCCACTCACTAGGCCCCATATGAAATTTTAGTTAGACAGCGAAAGTTGTTGCGTGTCTGATGAAGAAAATTTTGCCACAAAAATTTTTTTGAATCGGTTCATCACGAGCGGAGAAAACAGGTTTTTTGAAGCAGCGCGAAACGAGGATGAGAGGAGGCGATCTCGAAACCCTTGCCGCTCCTCCGCGTAGCCTTCTCAAGCCAAATCTCTTCCCCGCACTCTCCGGCATCCGACTAAGAGGTAACGTGCGCATGACGGGCCCACACAAGTCCAACCCCCGAGCACGCAAACGGCGTTGCTTTGTTGACCAGCGTTATTTTGTGGTCTTCTGCCTGTTTCTGCGAGATGGTTTGGAAACGCTGGCTTAGACGCGGTGGAATAGATGAGCGAAATGAGTGCGCGAACGCGTAGGAGCGTTCCACGGCGGTCGTCTGCTCCATGCGCTGACCACGGGGGCACGAACGCATGCGAAACGTCGACACATTAGCCCCGCATCTCGTTGCGATTCGCCGGAGAAAAATCGCAAAAAGATGCTCACATTTCCTTTTTGCGTCTCGATATTTATCTAGAGTTTTATTGATCTCTTCAAGGAACAAATTACATAAACTACGCATGCCCTGTTAAATCATTTTCGCCATGTCACGTGCCACTGTTTGCAACGACAGAGCAGAGTCGTCTACGTAGTATACTAACGTCACTGCATTGCCGTGTGTCATTCATACGCGCACGTCATGCCCTCATTCTCTAGGCGCACTCCGGCAGAAGGGAGGGGGAGCAGCGTTCATCACGTGATCATGAACGCCTCGTCTACGTATTGCGCTTGTCAGCTCAAAATCATCAAACCTGGTGAGTGGCCCTTTAAAGAGCCCAGACGTTAAAAATTAAGTCAGACGGCATGCCTTATAAATAATGTATATATTTCACTAAAAATTTCATCTTCTTTACATTGTTTTCAGCGTTTGTGTGGCATTGTTAGTGACCAAGCGAACGCAGAGGTAAGTTTTTGTCTGAAAAAAAAAATTATTGTCCAAATAATCCGTCCTTTGCTGTAGCACCGTAATGCACGTGATTCATCGATGAAAGCTTTCTGTTGAACTTTTATATGAGGTTTTTACTGGTGAAACAATATGTAGGTACACGTGGTAAATGCAGTTTAATGCAACGCGCCGTCAGCCACCAAGCCTTCATGACTTGACTTATCGACTCTCTCACATTTTATCGTGAACAGAATGAGGGAAAAAATCATATCCGTAAAGGTGCAAACGGTGGTACTGAATAAATCGCATAGATATGCGGGCTTTCTACAATATTTCTTTCTCTCTTTTTTTCTACTATGCAGATGACAAATGTGTAAATAATTAGTTCAGCCACGCTACCGCATTGCGTAACAGATGGAACACAAGATAACTACGTACAAAAACACAACAAATGTGTGATTTAGTGCGAAAGCGTGAAGAGAGCCACCCAAGGCAAGTATACCTATTAAAGCCAGCATGCGCTTTACTCGTGGGTAATATCAACGTTGCATAGGCGAAGTGCACCAATTTAGTAGAGAAGATAGTTGTATTAACAGTAAAGTGAAGTCAACGCATTTTATCCACCGAAAATTGGCTCAGACCGCAAACAAGTGCCGCTGCGTGTATTTGTATACGTGCCACCGACCGCCTATCCGCACTTGCGCGAGGACGATGCTGCCACCTATAGCCCTATCTCGCCTCGATATTGCACATGGACAACGTTTATAGATATATATACATTGCCCAGCGAAGTATCCGGGCATGGCGGGAGAGGGCGACAACGGCGGAAGTGACATCACATGAACACTCTGTAAACGGGTCAGCTCCTTAAAAGCGTGATGCGATGAGCAGCATGTTAGCTGAGGTTGACTTAAGTCATATTAAGTTAGGTCTGTGAATACGGGGGGTAATGGGCTTTCCCAATTTGAGACGCTCTTTCTTTTCTTGTATTCTCATATTTCTCGCTTAATTAATCTTGCGTTGCAGATACTCGATATAACATTTTTGTTCAGCATCGCACTCCTCAAAAAACTCGGCTACACGGAACATTCTTAGTATGGTGACTCTGTAGAAATATCAGCGAGTTTTCGAGAGCTTATAACGCGTCACTCAAATTCCAAGAAATGTTCATCTGGAACACAATAACCCAAGACGCCGAGCACTGCTACTATCCTTAGAAATCATTAACACGACAGTAAAGCCTGTATCGTATACGCCACCTCTTAACAAAATGGCCTCAAATTTACCGCGGTTATTAACCACAAAGGAGAGCTGACAAAATGTACCTCGTTCTACACCAAGGACCCGCTCGTGGTCGAGCAGGTTGCTATTGCACTGGGTATAGTTGACAACAATGTAGAAGTCATGTTTAGTGACTCTAGATCTGCAATACAGTCCTTCGCTAATGGCAGAATCATCGCCGCAGGCCTACGCATTCTCCAGAACAGTCCTAAAGAACTCGTAGCGAATTCGCACCAGTACCAGCGGATTCATGACGTCTCCAGGAATCTCCGGAAACGTACGTCGACGTAAGTCGACCCATTCAAGTCTTTTTCGGCAAGTTTTCCGTACCGCCACGTCGTCGGATAGTTAAGCCTAACGCGCCTTGTTGCGCTCGTTCTCTCTCGACGGGGCTTCGCCGCCCGCTTCGCTGGGCGTCATGCGCGCTCGCGTGCTGCCAGTGTGCCATGAAGGTGATCGTCGCGGGCACAGAAATTACCCCGAATGAATTCGAAGGGCTTACGCAAGTGAACAAGAGCCGTGAAGACCGTACATCAACAGGGACCACCATCCCCCCGGCTTCCGACACCCAGGACGGATGATCTTCGTCCCATATAAAACCTCAAATGCCAAGAATGGTAATATCGCAGCGACCAATCGTTCGCTCACACCACGCCAACGTGGGTGGCGACTAGCCCTCAACTCTGTGGCTACTAAGCAGCCTCGGCTTCCCAGCGATGCACTCAAGCTCATCATCCGCCTCAGAGGAGGACTCCGTATACTCTCCAAGTGTTAGTTGGGAGGCGGCCACGCCGCTCCAGCAGTAAACGTGACAGTCGGACCATGCCAACAGAAAAGAACCGCCAGTTTTATTCACACTCGTGAATATATATAGGAAAGTAAGGGGGAGAGGGAAGGGGGATAAGATTGTGCACATGCGCACTTGAGAGCTTGGGTCGCGTCGTTCAATGGGTTACAGCATTTCTTCCCCCTTAGTAGCCAAAACGCACGACCGGTTTCTTGGCTCGTGTGGAGCGACGTAGTACGTATGGTTGCGATTCAGGGGTACTCTGAGAGGTAGCCGGCGCCGTTGTTTCTAGTCGTACCGGCCCTGGGGAAACCGGTGTAGAAGGCCTCGACATGTCGTCGGCTGCTGGCGTTTCATCTGGGCTCCGCTTGCGAACTTGATCCACGTGGCGGCGGACAAGGCCATCCACAGTCTTTACCTCCAGGAGGCGAGTGCCACGCGTAGCCTCCACTGTGCCTGGGAACCACTTGTCTCCGGCGCCGTAATTTCGCACGTACACGTAGTCTCCCGGTGCGAAATTCCAGCCTGGGTCACTCGCAGCTTTGGCAGGATAGACTCTGGAAGGAAAAGACATCTCCATTCTTGTGCGCAGACGGTATCCTAATAGCCTCTCTGAGGGAGAAGGACCCTCCTGGTGTGGTGCGTTCCGATAATTGCACAATACACGTGCCAGTGAGGTGAGGAGGCAAGTGCCGCCTATCTTCTTCAAGCCATCTTTGATAGTGCGTACGGCTCGCTCTGCTAGTCCATTACTCTGGGGGTGATAGGGAGGTGTTCGAATATGCGCAATGCCATTGCGCTCCATGAACTGCTCGAACTCTCGTGCCGTGAATGGCGTCCCGTTGTCAGAAACCACCGTGCGCGGTATACCAAAACGGCTAAATATCGTTCTGAGGGCCTCGACTGTGCTATGCGAGTTGGCCTGCGACACGGGAAGCGCCTCAATCCACTTGGTGTGCGCGTCGACAACGATGAGTAACATTTTCCCTTTTACTGGTCCCGCATAGTCCACATGTAACCGCGACCACCTTTCGTGCGTCTCGGGCCAATTTACTGGTTCTTTTGCCTGAGCCATCGGCAACGCTTGCACACAGTTTTGGCATGTCGCCGCAACGCGCTCGATGTCTTGCTCTACGCCGGGCCACCAAAATAACGATCTGGCCTTCGCCTTCATGGTGGAAATTCCTTGGTGGGCTTCATGCAGTAGCCTTAGCAACTTCCCGCGTGCTGCTGTCGGCACTACAAAGCGATGGCCCCAGTAAAGAAGTTCTTCACTAACAGACAGCTCATGCCGCCTTTTGTAAAAATCGGCGATTTCTGTAGTTTCCGTGTCGAGTTTTTTCGGCCAACCTTCCCGGGTATACTTGCGTACCTGGAAAAGTACCTCATCCGCGACGGCGAGTGCCTGGAGTTCCTTCCATGGCAGGGCCGGCTGATCCCACTGGTCCAGGGTCAGAACTTGAGCTTCGTCCTCCTGGTCCACTTCTTCCTGCAACGGTTGGGGTAGACGGCTAAGAGCATCAGCATTGCACATGAGTTTACCCGGTCGATGTTGCAACCGATAACGGTAGGCACCAAGTATGATGGCCCAACGCTGAATGCGCGCAGCGGCCATAGCCGGCGTCTGGCGATCCGCTCTTAGGAGACCCAACAGTGGTTGATGGTCGGTTAGAAGCGTGAACTGTCTGCCCAGCAGATAATCTCGGAATCGCGTGACGCCATAAACCAGAGCCAACGCCTCACGTTCAATCTGTGCATAATTCTTTTCTGCGGCAGTAAGCGTCCTGGATCGAAATCCAAGGGGCTGATACTGTCCTTCAATTCGGTGGAATAGTGCCGCTCCCACACCGTAGGGTGACGCGTCGCACTCCAGAAATAGCTCTCGTGCGGGATCGAAGTGAGTTAACACAGGCGCGGAACACAAAACGGCTTTTGCTTTTCGGAAGGCATCGTTTTCGCGCTCATCCCAAGACCATTTCGATTTCTTTTCCAGAAGAAGGTATAGGGGACTCAGGAGCGTGGACAGATTAGGCAAGAATTTATTGTAGAAAGTTAGCATGCCCAAAAAAGACCGCAATTCCGTGACATTGTGAGGAGTCGGTGCCAGCCTAATTGCTTCGATGTTCTTGTCTGACGGGTGCAACCCTGCCGCGTCAATTCTGTGTCCTAGATACGTAACTGACTCCTCACCTATTCGGCACTTGTCCGCGCGGAGCTTCACGCCGTACTCCCTGAACCGCTGCAAGACTGCTTGCAGGTTCGCAGTTGGCTTATCGTTCGCATCTGCTATCAGGACGTCGTCTAAGTACGCTTGAACCCCTGGGAGGCCTTGCAGCACCTGCTCAATTGTTCGTTGAAAAATCGCAGGGGCCGAGGCTATCCCAAACGGTAACCTGTTTTAACAAAAGAGGCCCTTGTGAGTGTTTATAACCGCTAACTTGCGCGAATCTTCGTCTAGAAGAATTTGGTTGTAGGCATCACGTAGATCCAAGATACTGAACTGCTGCCCTCCACGAAGCGTAGCGAAAATGTCGTCCACTACGGGTAGAGGATAACTTTCCATTTCACATACTGGGTTTAGAGTAACTTTGAAATCGCCACAGATGCGGACTGTTCCGTCACGTTTCAGCACTGGCACTACCGGGGTTGCCCATTCTGAATAGGAAACTGGCGTAATAATGCCTTCGGCCACGAGTCGATCTAGCTCGGCGGACACTTTGTCTAGCAAAGAAAATGGAATTTTTCTTGCCTTACAGAACCTTGGGGTTGCTCCGTCCTTTATATGAAGCCGTGCTGGTGGTCCCTTGATGGCTCCCAGGCCCTCCGCAAAAAGGTCTGCGTACTGTTCCAGCACGGGTGCCGCTGTCCGACTCTCCAGCTTCCCGGTCCGATGAGAGTGACGCGATGTGAAGAAGCGGTGCCCCTTGTGTCTCGAGCATCTGTAACAGGTCACGGCCGCAAAGGCTAGGACCTTCGCAGTCTAACACAACGAGATCGCAGTCAACTGTTGCAGACTTGTAGGAAGCTTGCATTTTGACAATGCCCCGCACTGGTATCTTCCCAAGATAGCATGACAGAGTTAATGCAGCTTTACAAAGCGGTGGCCACTTATGACGATAGGCTTCGTATATCGCTTTAGGCACTACGCAGACAGGTGAACCTGTGTCGATTATCATATTCAGTGGCACTCCGTTCCATGTAACCTGCTTGTGTAGGGGCGGAACCAGGCTTCCATTACCCTTCACTGACCATATTTGTAGTGCGTTACAATCGTTATCTTCACTTTCCGCTGAACACTCTGTTATCGCGAAGGTTCTGTTGGTGGTGGCTGTCCGGGAGCATACTCGCGCCAAGTGACCTTGTCGCCCACATTTGTAGCACCTGCGCCGTCGTAATGAGCATTCCCTGGCTTGATGTCCCTGTTTGCCACAGCAGCTGCAGTGCTGCGATAAGCTGCTCCGTTCGCTCCTGCTGATTTCGGGTTGCCTGCTACGCTGCACGTTGAACACCCCAACGGCGTCACCTTGCCCGGTCATCTGTTGCGACCCTAACTCCGCGCTTTCGGCTGCTAGAGCTAGTGCTTCCGCTTCTGCCAGCGTCAAGTCCTTTTTGGCTAATAGTTGTTTCTGCAGGTTTTTCGAGCGCACTCCACAAACGATGCGGTCCCTCAGCATTCGCTCCAACATTGAAGAGAAGTTGCAGTTATGCGCTAGTTTGCGAATCTCGACGATAAACGCCTGCACGGACTCCCCTTCTTGTTGGTTTCGGTGAAAGAACTTGAAGCTTTCTGATATCTCGTTAGGGGACGGATCATAGTGCTCGTTCAAGGTTGAAACAACTTCTTCGTAACTCAGCGAGCTTGGTTTTCGCGGTGCGATTCTGCCGCAAAGGATTTCAACGGTCCTCGATCCTAACGCAGCCACCAACAAGGCCCTTTTCTTCGCGTCGTCCGTAACTTCGTTCGCTTCGAAGTAGGCGTCAATCTTAACGAGATACGCTTGCCACTTATCTGTCTCCTCTGCAAAATCCGGAAGCTTGAGGGCCATGGCTGCGGGCGGGCTGATGGGCGTCTTCGTCTTGGTCTCGCCGCTGGCGCCCGACTTACACGTATCGGTGGGTATTCTCGTCGCCACTGTTAGTTGGGAGGCGGCCACGCCGCTCCAGCAGTAAACTGTTAGTTGGGAGGCGGCCACGCCGCTCCAGCAGTAAACGTGACAGTCGGACCATGCCAACAGAAAAGAACCGCCAGTTTTATTCACACTCGTGAATATATATAGGAAAGTAAGGGGGAGAGGGAAGGGGGATAAGATTGTGCACATGCGCACTTGAGAGCTTGGGTCGCGTCGTTCAATGGGTTACAGCACCAAGATTACCAACTTTCAACTGTTCGAAGCGGTTTGCGCTGCAACAAACTTCCCCAAGGCCTCAATTTGCGGAACACATTCGCCTATTGCACCCCGGCCATCAAACGAGTCAAACGGGCACTGCGACTTGAAGAATTGGCGATCGACACCCGCCAATACGAAATTTCGGCGTGCTGTGCACTTGATGAAAGTCAAGGACGCCGTGTGATCCGAGGCTTTGATCTCCGCCTAGACCGCCAAAGCATACAAGAAGAATTACAAGATCCTCGTAACCCTTCTATCGCCGAATTTCGCCGTCTGGAAAACACCACCGCCATGCTGTTGACCTTCAAGGAACCTCGTGTCCCCACGTGAATATATCTCTGCAATGCCCGTCACCGTTGCAACCTGTACAAAAAGAAGTTCGAAGTGTGTTACTGGTGCAGTGAACTAGGCCACAGAGCTGATGTGTGTGCCAGGACAGTCGTATGGATGATGATGGGTTGATGAGTTATGTGTGACTGAGAGAAAGCGCCTTCGCCGCCGCGTTTCCTTCCTATCTGACAACGGCAAGTGTCGCGGCTGCGCCATCGCCAACCCACCCGGTCACATCACAAATGCGAACAGCCGTTGTAAGGAAATCTACAGGCACCCGTATATCATAAAGCGGCGCTAATGGGAGGCCCTCTGGCAGGAGGAAGACTCCAAGCAACAAGTTCAAGCGACTCAAAGGTGGGTCACCCTTAAACACTCCTGTCGCTGGGCCCGTCACCGGTTTGGTAGTACTCAGCGCATAGGGACCGCTTTTCCTTGTTCCCACCACTTGGGGCCGATTCTTCCCACAAGTCACTACGGCCATCGTCCAGCTCGAGGGCGCCTACCCCTGCTACTCCTCCGCCAGGTCTACCGGCAGGGAAGCTCCGTGGACCTGCAGTTTCCGGGACTCCTGCGGCGGTGCCGGTGACTACGCAGGGAAATACTACCGACACTACACATGAGAAAACCATTACTCACCTCACACAGCTGGTGCACAGAGTTACAGCAATAAAACAGCGCATAGGATCCTGTGCTTTTTCACATCCACCTTCCCTGAGAAAAACAACTACATCCACCCCCACGGACACTGACCCATCGGCAAGCATAGCCACAAAACGAAAGGCCTACGATGTGGGCGGGACACAACACGGTGATACGGAGGCACAAATTGAGCGCCTTACGTCAGCTTTGACTATGAGTGAAACACGCACAGAGCAACGTTTCGAGGCTCTAGAAACCACTATGGAGAAATATTTTCAAACACTCACAGCGCATGCAGTTAACCCAGCAACTCGACTCGTTGAGTAAATCATTAGACGCTCGGTGCAAAACTTACGACGCTGCCCTAGGCCCAGCTTCTTCCTCGGTCCCAGACGGAACTAAATCTCATCCTAACAATGGCGGGCCACTCGCGTAACACCCCCATCTGGCAGTGGAACTGTCGGGGCTTCGCACGTAAGCGTCCCGTGATCAGTGGCGTAGCCAGGGGGGGGGGGGGTTAGGAGGGTTCAAAATCTTGTCCAACACCCCCCCCCCCCCCACCACCACCACTTACCCAACTTATTTTTGTTTTTTTGTTTCTTCGCGTTGCACTGACATGATTTAGAAAGTAAGCGCGGCTACTATCACAATACCATTCATTGGCGCTTTAACAATGAATAATGTCTGCATACAGAAAAACGTGTCGCGGTGTATCTGTGAGATCTTGAGCAGGAATCTTGGCCGCGAGTTTTTTTAAGTTGGCTTGGCGATGGGGCTAATGCTTAAGCGGTGTTCATACGTGTACCCGCCGGAACAGAACTCACCGTAGTCGATCACTACGATAATTGTCAATTGGCAGACGTTTGTTTCAATGGAAGAAGCCAGACACAGTTACAAGGTCTGATAAGCCACGTTACAGCATATTACAGGGTGACTCTTCGTACGTGTGCTAAGATAAACTCAGGCCTAACATTTCTATTGAACTTTCGCACGTTCTGCTAACATTTAAACACACACGCGCGCACACACACACACACACACACACACACACACACACACACTCACACACACGCACACACGCACGCACGCACGCACACACACACACACACACACACACACACACACGCGCGCGTTAAAATATTTGGTTCATACACCTAACTTGGCTTGTATGCGCGTGTACAATATATTTATACATATCTTTACTATGCCCTAACGGCTAAAGGCACTCCGAAGTGTTGTCTAGTGACGAAGGTGCAACACAGGTAAACACGCAGGCCGATCACAGCCTTCGAAAGGCCTCATCATGTAACTTAGGCTGATAAATAAAATATATGCTGGTCATAAACCTAAAGCAGCGTAATGAGAAATGCAGTGTGGGCAGCTGTTGTGAGCCCAAGTTTTATTGTTCTGCACTGTGGCAAACAGTGCAAAAGTAAGGAACATAAAGCTAAAAAAAATATACGACAATACAAAAATATTTATATTGGTTCGCTTCATCTGTTCGTCCCTTCACGTTGACGTGACTAGAAGGGCACATCGAGCGATTTCTGCAAATAGCGACATAACGCACAACAAGAAATTAACAGAATGAAGAAACATAAGTGGACATGTGATCATGTAAAACCAAGAACAATATACATAATAACCATTATTTTTAGAAAAATTTAAATAAACTCTGTGCAAGCAATTTTTCACGCAGCAAGCAGGTACGTTACACT